ACTGCAACCCACAGGACTCACATGCTTTCTCTCTGTTGCTCTGAGGGCTTTTGCACCGAAGTAGGTGAGTGTGGAGCCGGAGAGAGTGATCCAGTAGCGGGTCCAGGAAGAAAGCTGAGGAAAGAACATCAATGGGATTAACGTGGGATCAGTAACGTCTGATGGTGAAAACAGGAGTGTATCTCCCTCACAGGAAGTGAGTGGAAGCAGACCCGTGTCACGTCACGGTGTCCGAGCCCGTGGTCATTACACGCTCCCTCCAGCAGACCAGTCTCTGCTCTCCAGGTCCTGCTTTAACGTCCTGCCTGGAAGAGCTGATCCTTCACAAAAGGCACTCGTTTATCTTTGCACACTTCCTTCACGGACGCATGTACCTGTTTACTAAGAAACTATTTACATGCTTAGTAACCTTGACAGGGAAATTCTGATGCCTGATGTAACAGAGTAGGTTCGTTATCTCAGAGCCTGCAGGGACAAAAGTCATATCAGGGCCCCTTCCGTCCTGCAGAAGCAGGTTCCTCTCTGCGCCAGGAGTCCCATCCTGGTACTTCTGTTTGGAGGCCCCAGTAACAACTCACGTGGCACTCACAAAAATGTCTGAGGAAGGGAAAGTGAATACTTGTGGAGTCTCCCTTCCACAGAGCTCCACATGACCATCGGACACCCCCACCAACGAGCCCCTCTTGCAACAGGCCTGCTCCCGGGCTTCCTGGTGAGTGACAACAGCCGAGCTGTGGGGCGGAGCAGAGAGCTGCAGCCTTACTGTGGGCTTCCTGCCTTCCTTCAGCAGAGTCTTCCTCCTCAAAGGGCCCTCCATGGTGATACTGCCTGCGTAGCTCAGGTTCACACCTGCAGGGCTGAGAGTGAGGGAGACATGGCAGTCAGGCTGAAGCCTGCGGATGAGCACTTCACCTACTGTGCACAGCGTGATCACAGACGCAGGAGTAATGCTACACATGTTGTAATATCGTTCCTCCTGGTCCATGGTGCAATTACTGACAAGATACTGACATGGACAATGTAGACAGGACTAATAATACCAATATTAATAAATAAGATCATGCAAACTAAGCCAGTGTACACCAGAACAGAGGCAGTGTACACAGGATATACACACAGTGCAGTTTACTAAAGTAAACTAAAGTAAATTTAGTGTGAAAATGCATGGTATGGGATGTATGTTTGGGACTGAGGGCATTTCCAAGGCAGTAACCCCCAGACAGCTCTCTGTGGCCAAGCTGTTGTCTGTGCCACCTGCAGGCAGGTGCGGGGCGGGTCTCCAGGCTGTCTGTGCCACCAGCACGAGAGAGAGCCGCACTGGCCAGGCATGCACAGGAACAGCAGGTCCCCCCCGACTGTACCTGTAAACGTAGCTGCGACTCCGGGGCGAATTTCGAGCCGGAACCCTCCAGTTGGGGCCCAGCGTGGCGTACATGCGGCCCCTGTTGGCAAATTCAAACGTCAGTCCGAAGCCCCCGGGCACTGCAGAGCAGAGCTCAACAGCGCCGTCATCACACAGACACACAGCATCAGGACACGGGGGTGCACTGCTCCTTCAACCCCATGAGTCACTTAAAGTACCTTTTCTCTCTTTGCAGAATTAATAACATAATTCATTTATTTATTAATTACCATTTGTCACTATTGCAACAGCTCA